CCTGTTTAACAAGACAGGTAGAAGGAAAAGTAGCAGCTACTCAGGCTTTGCCCAACTGAAGGCATGCCAGTGCATACCTCAGAGGTGTACACCCAACCCAAGGATGCGTTATCACCCATCCTTGAAGGCAGGAGGCAGTACAGACTATGAGGAGATGCATTGCAAGGTGAAATGCTTCTTCTCCTGTTCTCATGAAAGCAAAACAACTACCCACTGGACCTTTCTGGGTTGTGTTTCACTTCAGACATTCACTGGGAGTTTGCGCTGCTTGTTGCAATTTTGAGGGAGGATGTATATGACCACTTTAATGAATTATAAGTGGCAAAAATAACAAATACTAAGTGTTCTGCCTTAGCTTATTTTCCTTAGAAAGACATATTTTCTGTCAAGCTATTGATCAACATCCATATGTCACTTGGCACAGTTATTCCTTAATATATATTAGAACTGTGATGAGGACTACAAAATTTTCCTGTTAACCCTGGATCAGGCAGAACTATCTCTTGCCACATCAGAGCAAAACGGGAGCAGTGCAGGGGGCACTGAATGACTTGAGTATCAGCTCAATTGTATTGGTTCCAAAAACAAATGAAGGGAGCATGACCTCCAAGGGAAAAGGTTCCCTTGGAGGTACTTCTCTTCCATTTTCACTACACCTTATCTAGCATAAATGGATCTGGAAGGTTCATATGAAAAGGTGACTGCTACTGGTTTCCTTTAATAGGCAGTTCCACAGGTATAGGCTCAGCAAATGAGTTGCATGAAGACTAAACAGGAAAACTGTAATAGCTATTCTCTTGCAATGAGCTTTAAGGGTGGTAGAAGCCTCCTAAACAACACACAGCATTTTCTTCACCTATTCATAGTATTGGTCAAATGAAAAAAGAGAGAGAGGCTGAACTGCCACTTGAGGCACACAGGTCAGTGTCTCAGATAAGCCGCGTTACTCCAGACTGCTCACTCAGGGCCTGCTCACAAACAGCACGCTCACACAGTTTGGCACTGTGGGATTGTCACAAGACAATCAGCGATTACATTAATGAAAAGTCTCACTGGGCAGCCTCCAACAAGTTGCAGCTAAACCCAAAGCTGGCAAATTGAAAACAGCAACCTGCACTTAAAAGAAGTGCAGCTGGATTGAAGCCATTCTCCAGTGTATACCTTCAGGGAAAGGCAGGACACAGCGGCTAACGCACGACCAGACAAGTTAATACAGTCAGATTGAGACAGCAGGACATCTTCCTAGTTCATGATCTATGGAAAGTTTTTTCTCTAAATGTTGTTTTTATTCCCTTGCTCAATATAGTGGGTTTTCCTTTCTGATTTAAGTTTTTGTTTCCACTGAACATGAGCCATGTGGATTTTCTGGTATCATCAGTGATGTGCTGAAGGTTATTAAGGACAGCTTTCTGCAGAGTAACAATAGTGCTTCCTATCACTGACTCTTGGTTCACTGAATCTTTTCTTTTTTTCTTCTCTAGAAGTGACCTTTCCAGGGGAAAGTACAAGTTTGTTTTGAAGGTAGGGAGAAGTGACAGCCACAGCATTGTTAGAAACATTAAGCAATTTATAAAGTGGTTTACTGAACAGGTACATCAATGCAGCAGAAATTATGCAGAGCCCATTAAGCCACATTTACATACAGCCCACAGCAAGAACAGTTTCATGAAGCAAGATTTTTTAAATTAGAAAGTTGTCCAAACTTGCTTTTAAGGCACACATAGAGGTATGCATGTCTCTCCCTCTCTCTCCATCTCCGCAGCCCGATTCCCACAGTCCGCTCTCAGGATTGTGAATGAGTGTCGGGGAAAGGAGCACTGTGCACCACACTGCTGCACACAGACACACAAGCTCACACCTACGGCTGATGGTGAAAACCAGAAAGGAGAGTGCCTGCTTGAAGTGACTATTCTTAGAACAAAGTCTGCGCAGTTGCACTCTTTCAGGCTAAGAAACGTCCCCGGATGAAGGTGGCAGAACAAACACATTCTATTTTTTACAACCTCATCCGTTTACAGCAACATCGCCATTGCAGCATTTGCTCCCACACTGCAAAAGCAGCACTTTGCTTTTGTTTCTAATCAGGCAAGTGATCAGTTATGAAATGGTGCCTTTCTCTTAAAAAACCCTTTACAGCCCCCTGGTGAGCAACTACCATACATTTCTTGTGGAGGACACCAGGCTTCCTTTCTTTTAAAGGCACCAACTAGTGTTCAGCAATAAGCAGCAGCTCACTTTTAAAGGTTCTTTCTCTGAGGCATCCCCGGTGTTATCACTGGTCTTGTATTTGCGCTCCTTGTCCCGGTGATCGATAGTGGAGTACCCATCTGCGGAGGGACAATAGGACAGTCAGGCATGCAGCACTACTAAGAGCAAAACCAGGGCTGATGCTAGCAGTATTTTTCAGCGAAGAAACAGGGAAATAAACCATTAAAACCTGAAGATGCTGGCAGCCTGCTTTTCACATGCTCTGAAATTTTATTTTTATCAGTTCGAAACAAAACAGAAAAGCCCTCTCTTTGTATCACTGTCAGATCCTGGTGCTCATTAGCAAGCAACACTGTTTTCATCTCAGCCTGCTGCAGTTTTGTAGTGTGCCCAAGGAAAGCAGCAAGTTGTCATCTCACGCCCTGTGGCTAACGAGCTCCAAATTCAGCTCAAATCTTCTGTTCCTTGCTTAGCTGTCTCATTAATTGGCTGTGTTCATTCTCTGAATGGTCCTGCAGCATGTTCCCACTCTTCCTGAGCCTGACTACTAGCAGGACATGACAATAATTTGGAAGGGTCCTTTTCAGAGCACTGAAAAAAAGGGCCAGTAGAGTTGGAGGAGATCTTGATGCAAACCCTGCTGTGCTAGACCTGTCTTTCAGTACAAAGTAGCACCTGTTGGTGATTTTTCCCCTAACAGCTAAGAAATAATATGAATGCAGATTAACATGAGGAAGAGGAGCGTGAGAGGCTTTTATAAGGAAATAGTTTTAATTATTTCAGAACCTTTGCTTTGAATCATTGTCAGCCAATACAAATCTTATTTTCCTGATGCATTAATTCTCCCTCATTAGTGGTGACAAATAGACCCTCTCATGCTCTGCTTTGACAGCATTGTAATCTGAAGTAAACGACACTCAAATTTATAGTTCCCAGCAGGCTTTTGTTTCCCCCTGTGTAATTAAGGAATCATTAATGTTTTCATGTCCTGACAAACTGAACTCTTAGAATAGCACAAAAAAGTTTTACATAAAATACTAAAATGCTCTTCTCTTGGTTTACTGCCTGCAACAGGTCATCTAAGAAAAAATGAGTCATGTTTTTTGTGGGGTTCCAGGGGCATAAAGAGGCACTGTTTGCTCACACGATCAAAGCACACGTAGCCAGAGTGACTTGTACCAAACGGAGTCACAGAGCAGGGCTCTAAATGATGCTTATGCTGGCCACAATCAAGGCAGTTTTTAAGAGAGCTGAAGTTTTCCTACTCGCCTTGTGAATCAAAGTGTGCACAGACCTACAACAAGTACCCAAAGAAGCTGCGTATTCATGACAGGCGTAGTAACAGATTCCATATCCACGCTGCCTAAAAATAGCTACAGCATTTTTGAGTTATAAACAGATCTTAAAGCTTGAAAAATCATTGCTACACAGAGCAATGATTACTTAAAACTATTTGGTGTCAATGAAGATACCTAACATGTTTGGCTGTTCCTTTCAAA